GCGCGCGTGTCCTCATCATCCTCACCAGTGCCATCGTCCTCAACATCGCCAGCGTTAATTATTATTGCCGCCGTCATTTTCATCACCATCAGTTGCAACACCATCACCATTGTCGTCGCCATCGTCGTCATGAACACTAGCATCGTTGTCGTCCTCTTCGCAGTCGCGGCCCAGGTGAGTGTTGCCAACAAGATATGGGTGGGTGAGATGTTTGCACGACCATTAGAGATGACGGCATAAGCGATGTGCCCCACACACATACATATATATATACACATATATATATATATATATATATATTGTAGTGGCCTTCGGCCAGTGCCGCCGATCCGGGTCACTCGGGGTTATTCTCCAGACGCAGACATTATGGGCGCACACTCAAACGCACACACGCAGTCACACCACCCAACCCGCGCCGCAGACATGGGGGCCTGTCAGGGCGTCCTGGGGGGCTTCTCGGAGACTTTTGGGGGCCCTTTTGGGAGCTCTTAGGCGTCTGGGGGCGTTTTTTGGGGCATCTTAGGGGCCTGTCAGGGCGTCCTGGGGCGCTTCTCGGAGGCTTTTGGGGGCCCTCTTGGGAGCTCTTGGGGCCTCCGCTTTTTCCGCTTTTCGTCCCTCTTTGGGGTCTTCTTGGGGACGCTTGGGGGGGCTCTTGGGCCGTCACCCCGCATCCGCCGGAAACTCGCACCCCCCCCCCACCCCATCCCCCCTTCCCCGGCAGAGCCACCCCGGCAACCCCCCCAGAGGCTGAGGCTCAGCCTCGAGGCTGTAGCTGAGACTCCTTGAAACTCACACACCGGATCGGCGGATATATATATATATATATATATGTGTGTGTGTGTGTCTACGCCACGTAGCGCACGACTATTCATTCATAAATCGAGGTGGAATCATGCACGGTCTGGGGTCGACGCTTGCAAATGTTTCCTTGCTAGTGCTGTGCTCCATGCTCCCTACACAGTTTTAGGATTAGGTGTTGTGACTTGCTGTCTTAAATGATTTCATGGGCACCGTGGCGTTTGGCATGGTGCCAGGTTGGTGTCCGTGGGCGTCTCGAGCGCGGCCCGTTCGTTGTCTGTGGGTCCGTCGGGGTTTCGCTTGTTCCCCGCCCGTGGAACCCGTGTCACATAGCTTGCGTCACACAGATTGCACCACATAGCTTGCACCACGTACAGTGCATGTGCCCCCACTGGCAGCAGGTGCTGCGCACCCTTTGGGCCCAACAAAAGAAAGGTCTGGGGGGGGGGGGGGGGGGGCGAACGCCCCCTCCCCCTAGACGGGCGACGCGCGCCGCGCGTCCTGGCTCAAGTACACTTGGTGCACACTCGCACTCGACCGAGCAGCTGTGTTTGGTGCAGAAGCGCGGCGGAGCCCTCGCGCTCGCGCGTCTGCTCGGGCGCCGCTGGGCGTCGGCAGCGGTGCACCCTCGCGGCGAGGTCGGTGCGCGGCGCGTGCCGAGACGCCCCCCGGCAGCAAACGCCCACGGCCTCGCCAGCGGGGGCGCCGCGGGGACCTGCCTCGCAGAAGAGCCCGCGGGCGCAGGCGACGAGGGGAGGCTCGAGAGGCAGCAGTGCCAGGAGGGAGGAGGACGACGCGCCGTGGGTGGCGCCACGCGGCTTGCACCCCATGGGTTACGCAACAGATGTTGCGCCACCAGGTTGTCCCACATTGTGTGCACCGCGCATAATGCACATCCTGAGGGCAGAAATGCGCCGTTTGCAACCCGCGTTGGCAACACTTACGCTTCTTATTATTGGTCCTCCTCCAGGGACGCAGGCCTTGGCATCCTCACTACTTCCTCCTCCTCATTGTTATTCTTCCTCCTCCGCCTCCCCCTCCTTACTACTCCTCATTACTCTGGTGCACAGGTGCACTCCAAAGTCCTAAACCCAGGCAATGCCCGAGAAAGAACAACAATATGTAGGGACAGAGGGGCTAAGGGGGCGCCTAGGAGAAGAGGGAACGCCGAAAGGAGGGGGAGAGAGAGGAGAACAAGGAGATAGGCGCCCCCGACACCCACCGCCTTGACGGCTTGCCCGCGGCTCTGCAGCCATAGGCTTGTTTGTGCGCGGAGTTGGCACTTCCGCCCGCCGCGCAGGCAGTGGGGTGATGTCGCAAATTTCCATGTGCACTTCCCTATCCCCAGCCCATCCCTCGAGAACTCGACAAGCTGTGACAGCACAAGCCTGCTCATGCATTCCTGGTCAGGGGAGGGGGCAAGGGAGATCCGAGATTTTCTACAGCTAAACAAGCCAGAGGGGCCCCAACATATGAACGCACGCACGACACACACACACACACACACACACACACACACACACACACACACACACACACACGCACACACGCACACACGCACGCACGCACGCACGCAGGCACGCAGGCACGCAGGCACGCAGGCACGCAGGCACGCACACACCCACGCGCGCGCGCACACGCGCGCGCGCGCACACGAACACCCGCGCGCGCACGCACGCGCGCGCACGCACGCACGCACGCACGCACGCACGCACGCACACACACACATACACACCTACACACGCACAGCAAACACACACACACACACACATACACACACACACACCGACTACTACTACTACTACTACTACTACTACTACTACTACTACTACTACTACTACTACTACTACTACTACTACTACTACTACTACTACTACTACTACTACTACTACTACTACTACTACTACTACTACTACTACTACTACTACTACTACTACTACTACTACTACTACTACTACTACTACTACTACTACTACTACTACTACTACTACTACTACTACTACTACTACTACTACTACTACTACTACTACTACTACTACTACTACTACTACTACTACTACTACTACTACTACTACTACTACTACTACTACTACTACTACTACTACTACTACTACTACTACTACTACTACTACTACTACTACTACTACTACTAACTACTACTACTACTACTACTACTACTACTACTACTACTACTACTACTACTACTACTACTACTACTACTACTACTACTACTACTACTACTACTTACTACTACTACTACTACTACGACTACTACTACTATACTACTACTACTACTACTATACTACTACTACTACTACTACTACTACTACTACTACTACTACTACTACTACTACTACTACTACTACTACTACTACTACTACTACTACTACTACTACTACTACTACTACTACTACTACTACTACTACTACTACTACTACTACTACTACTACTACTACTACTACTACTACTACTACTACTACTACTACTACTACTACTACTACTACTACTACTACTACTACTACTACTACTACTACGAACTGGACCTAGCACTTCGCTGTTTAGGGGTTGCGAGGCTCGTGGCGAAAAATGCGCCAGCTCCTGGCTACACACCGCATGGCATTATCTCGGGCCACCCCGAGAGCAGAGCGCGGCGGGCCTGGCATCTACTTGAAGTTGTTGCGCGTTGCCAAAAGGGCTCTTCCACCTCTGTTCCTCCCCCCCTCCCTCCATGTCAAAACGATTACCGCTCGCTACTGCACTCATGGCACGGGCTGGCTATTTCCCCGTGCAGCATTCTCTGCAGCAGCAACTTACAGCCGCAGAACGGGCAGCATTTGATACAGTAGGGCGACCTGGGCACCGCGAGGGGCTTGGGGACGACGACGACCTGCTCCTCCTCGGGTGCTTCCTCGAGGCCGTCCTCCTCCGTGGGCCTTGGCAGGTGTGCTTGGCAAGCGGCCGTTGTCTCTGGCCCCGCCATGGGCACGTCGGCGAAGGTCTCGCGGGGCTGCACGGAGCTCGTCCGCTGGACGCTCGTGCCTTCCACTTGGTTTTCCACGGTGCCCGCCAGGAGCTTCGTGCGCGACTCCTCGCAGCCTGTCACCCTTTGCAATTGGAGCTCGCCCCCTGCCTCGTTGACCGCCGCGGGGAGCACACCGCTGCCGATCGCTTCGGGCAGGGCAAGCTCGGAATGCTCGGTCACCTGCACGCCCTCCGCGTCGTCCAACCTGGCCGCGGCGAGCTGGATGACCTCCGCCCTGAGGTCAAAGACAAGGGCGTTGATCTCCGCGAGCTGCTCATCGATGGAGCGCAGCTCCTCCTAGGTCTCCTCCTTGTACTTCATGTCCTGGGCTAACTCGTGCTCAAAAGCTCCCGTACCCTGATCGCACTCGGAGGAGATGTCGAACGTCTCTGCAGCTGCGGGGATTGGCGCGGCCGCAAAACGAAATTGTCGGGAGACAGCGGCCCCGCCTCCTCTCACCCCTTGCTGGGACTTCCTACGCGCGTTCTCCTCCAGCACTTCGGCTCAAGCTCTTCGTCCTCCACGCACCCGTCGGACGTGACCCCCGAGACCGAGGTAACGGAGACCTGTCAACCCATGCCCTCGGTGAGTTCCGAAGGGGTCGCCTCCTCGCCGACTGCCTGCGTCATGATCGGCTGCCGCAGGCACTCGAGCACCTGCGCCCCGCTCCCCACTGCTCGAAATCCGCGGCCATATCCTTGTACCCTCGCATGACAAGGCCCTTCCGCACGTCCTCGCTGGAGGCCCTGCGGTCCACCTGGAGCACGACCTGCGCCTCTCTCAACAAGCCTTGGATCTCCGCCAGGCACTCCTTGCCTCAGACGGCCTCGCATTCGGTAGCCAACTCCCTCGTGAGGTGGCTCGCCGTGGCCAACATCTGGCACGTGCGCAACGGTGCTGCCGTAGCGCAGGGTGATGGAGGCAGCGCCACCGCGCCCACAGCACCCCATGCCTGGAAGAGGGCGTGTGGCGAAGCACACCCCGTGCCGTATGAGGACAAGCACAGTATGCAGGAGACACGAACAAAGGCTTGAACACACATGGCGACGGAGTACTCCCCATTGCTCTTCTTACTGTTGGTCCTCCTCCTCATTACTCTTCTTGTTAGTGTTCCTACTCCTCTTGTTATTGTTCATCCTCCATGTCCCCTGGAGGGGCCCGGGCCCCTCCAGAGACGGAGGCCGCACGGGCCGGGCAGGCAGCTGGTGGCCACGGCCGTGCTCGAGTGGCGGACGGCGCTCGAGGAGGTGACCCCGTCGCCGCCGCCGCCGCCGCCGTCGCTGCAGCCGCCCTCGCTGTCGTCGTCGTCGTCGTCGTCGTCGTCATCGTCGTCGTCGTCGTCGTCGTCGTCGTCGTCGTCGTCGTCGTCGTCGTCGTCGTCGTCGTCGTCAGTCGAGGATCGGTGCTGGAAGGTCGGATTTTCAGGATCGGATGGATCGGGCGTTCTGGGGCCCTCCTTGGGCCTCCAGGGGGGAATCGAGGAGGAGGGAGGAGGGAGGAGGAGGTGGAGGAGGAGGAGGAGGAGGAGGAGGAGGAGGAGGAGGATCGATGGAGGAGGAGAGAAGGAGGAGGAGGAGGATCGCTGGTCGAGGTTTTCGGCAGCGGAGGGTCGGGGAGCGAGGGGCGGGCGGAGGTTCTCGATGTTTTTTTCGGTGGCCGCCCAGGGCCGTCAAAGAAAAGGGTGTAGAAGGGGTGGAAGCGGTCCCAGTGGGGAGCCCTGTGGTCCTGGACCCATGTTGGCGGGGCGAGGCTGGCTCGGGTGTTGCCAGAAGTGCCCTTGGGCCAAGGTGCCCCCAGGATTCTGGGGGGACCCCAAACGGCCTCCAGAGCACCCCTCACGAGGCCCAGAGGGCCCCAGGGGCTCCCAAATGGAGCGAAAAAGCTGGGGGCACCCTGGGCCAGGGGTACTTCTAGCAACACCCGACCGGTGGGGATGACAGAATGGAAACCAAGGAACGCGACGACGACGACGACGACGACGACGACCAATCACGACGACGACGACGACGACGACATTCAAGCGGGCGGGCGGGACATTGAACTGAAACTTGAAGCGCTGATGGGGCCCGTACATGTGACATTCGTGAATTCGTGGCGTCGCACCCGGTGCGCGCCTCCCCTCGCCCCCCCCGTTGCCCGCCTTCCGCCGCCTTTCCATCCCCTCCCTGGTGCCACAGGGCCTCCGTCGCGCTCTTAGAAAGTGGCACTACAGTGGGCCAGGCAATACTTGAAAACCTCGCTTTTTGATGGCACACATGGCACAAGTTTCGCCGCCGTCGCCCGAGTCAGCGTCGTTGTCGTAGTCAGCGTCGTTGTCGTCGTCAGCGTCGTCGTTGTCATGTTCTTCGCTTCTTGCTGTGGCCGAAGGGGCAGGGTGGTCCAGGGGGGGTCCCCCCTCCTGCAGATTTTCGAGGCGAGGTGAAGGGGGGGAGTGGTCCGACCCTCCCCTCCTTCGGTGGGTTGCCGGAGGTGCGAGAGAGTGCCTGGGGGGTTTGGGGGGGCGTGTGGGGAGTGCTGGTCAGGGCCCCAGCCCGTCGTGCAGGCGCCCCCAGAGGACGCTCGCTGGTGCCGCAGGGCCCCGCTCCTCGGTGCCAAGAGGAGGGGTGAGCGGATCGACCCCGCGGCGCCGCCTCGGGGGCCCCGTTCGCAGGGGCAACGAGGTCGGAGCGAGATGCGCAGACAGCAGCTTGGCAGTGCGAGTGCGCCGCCCTGCCAGGCGGCGAAGGTGAGGGGGGAGGGGAGGAGGCGGGGGGGCAGGAGGAGGAGGGGAGGGGAGGAGGAGGAGGAGGAGGAGGGGAGGAGGAGGAGGAGGAGGAGGAGGAGGAGGAGGAGGAGGAGGAGGAGGCGAAGGTGAGGGGGAGGGGAGGCGGGGGGGCAGCAGGGGCCAGGCGGCCGCAGAGCCCACGGCGCACGAGAGTGCAGCTGCGCCACGCTGTGCCGTGCCGCCCTCGCGACACTGCTGGTGCCCTGGCCCAGATCTGAGCCGTCGTGAGTCGTGGTTGTTCCGTCCGCAGGCCCCAGAGCTCCCGGAGCTGGGGGGGCAGGAGGAGGAGGAGGAGGAGGAGGAGGAGGAGGAGGAGGAGGAGGAGGAGGAGGAGGAGGAGGGGGGAGGGAGGGAGGGGGCCACAGGAGACGCAAGCCAGGAGGCAGTGCGTCCGTGCGCGAAGTTTGGCTGGGAGCTCTCGGAGCTTATCCTGCTGGTCCCCGGGCCCGAGGGCGGCGCCCAGAGGCCGACGCTCAGGACGAGTCGTGCGAGGCCCTCCCAGGAGAGGCCTCGCTGACTGGCAGGCGCCTCCTCGGTCTCGGCGGGGTGTGGCGGAAGGCCTGCAGAACCTGGGCGGATGCACACAGAATGGCGGCGGGTCCTAGGGCGGAAGCCAGGGGAAGGCAGCAGGAGCAAAGAAGGGAGACGCCCATGTGTCGTTTCTCGGGGCTTTCCGAGGTCGCCTCTTTCGTGAACGAGTCACAACATCCGAGCTCTGGGTGGTGAACAAGCGCCGGACGCTGGCAAGGGTTGGCGGGGGTGCGCTCAGCCAGGCAAAACCGTCGCGGCGGCGTCGGTTCGCTGTGAGCGCAGGCAATGCTTGCACTTCCGGCCTTGCTCGTCCACCTCTCTCGTGGACTTGTTGATGTTGCAGCTCATTCGCGCCCTGCTCCATCATCCACCTCTGTAGATTCCCATCGTGTTGCTGATAGTGGGGACGCGCATCAGCGCGTCAAGAAACTGGATGCAGCTCGTCAGGGCACCTCGGGTGTCTTCGCTCCGCGAGCTACGTGGCGGCTTCCTGCGGGCGTCAAGAGATTGCTGTATTCGGGGTGCCCGAGGTGTCCCCTCGGTTGCTCCTCGCGCGCGGATTTTCAGGGTCGGGTTTCTTGTCAGGGTTTCTTGCGGCCGCGTCCGCTGTGCGGTCCAACTGAGAGCCTCAGAGGTCCCACAATTCCTTGCGGTGTGGGGGATTTCGCCCTGATGTCGATGGATCCCGTCGACATTTGGACGACATGTGGACGAAAGGTTGAAGCGGGTTGGCCGACATTTGGACGAGAGGCCGCAGAGGTCCACAGAGGCTTCCATGAAGGCCCACCCAGCGCCCGCACCGTAGGCCACAGGTCATGAACAGAGTCAGGACGGGTGCTCGGTTCCACCGCTTCTGCGCTCGGGGAAGCCCGTCTCCGGGCCCAGGGAGCCTTCAAGAGCGGCTCGGCACGGAGAGTTTTGGCCCCTCCAGGGGTCGGTCGAAAGCTCCGTGGTCCACGGATTGAAAAAACAGACGGCATCGAAGGGCGTTCCCGTTCACCCCTGGTTCCCCCCCATCTCTGCAGCCACGCGCGTCTTACCTTTCCATGGTCTCGAGTTCCTGAGTGGCGTCTCCCCTCCAAAATCGTTGGTTATCCGCTTCCCGCTTCCTCTCTTTCTCCTATTCCGTTGGTTGTTTGAGAGGTGACCAAGGAGGTCAAGGGTTGGAAAGCGTCAGAGCGCCACGCCGTCCAGGTGCTTCTCTCTTGCTGTGCAGGGTGACGGGCAGCAGCATGAATAGTAGATTCAACGATTGGAGACACACGAAGTGTTCATCCTGATCGCCCTTGTAGGGTACGAATCGCTAGCTTCCTCGTGCAATGTCTGCCAAAGCCAGAGCCAGGTAGAGCCGACAACATAAGTTGATTCTAGGGCGTACGCCACAATCGCCAGATCCCTTGGGGCTTAGGGTGCGCGTCGTGGTATATCGGTTGCTCGTTCAGCAGCGGCACAGGGAGGAGCAGTAGGATCAGCGGCAGCTGGAGGATGAGGAGTAGAGGGAGAACGTATAACAAGTCCCCTCGTGCGAGCAGTATTGGCCCTGGCTGTTCTAGCCTCGCGGGCCGGCTGGAAGGTCGCGATTGCCGTGGGGTCCCGTGCACGAGTCTGGCAGCCAGCGCAAGTCCGCACGAACAGAGATCGGGGGCATCGTTTTGAAATCGGGCCCCTCTCCATCCGTGAATACGCTGGAGTGTGTTAGGCGAACGTGCGCGGCGCGACGGCGCCACGCGTGAAAGCGCTTCGCCCTCCACTCGCGTAGTTCTTGGAACGTTCCGGCTTCAGAGTCACAAACAGGGGGAGGTCTCGGGCGAAGCTCCCGTCCCGCCCTGCCGGCATGTCTGGTGGTATTGCACGGTTGAGGTATCCAGTTGCTTGCAGCAAGTCCCGCCGCAGTGCCAGCCCAGCGTTTGGGATGGCGAGCGCTGGAGAAGTGCAGAGGAACCCGTAACATGTGATACGCTCTTCCGCGTCGTGACGGGCTGTCCCTCGTCTTGTTTCTTCTTCCTCTCTTGGGGGCCTCTCAGGGGCCTTTCGGAGGCCAGGACGGGCAGAGAGCCAGAACAGCACAGAGCAGCAGGGGGGCGCGCCCCTTCGAGAGGCCCCCGAGAGGACCCCACGGGCGAGGGAGGGCGGCCGCGCTGTTCCGGGACCCCTGGGAGACGCCGCGGGGCACGCAGCGCACCCTGGGGCACCGCAGCGCACGCCGCTGGGCATGCAGGCCCTCGGCCGCGCTGCACCGACGGGTCCCCTGCAACTGCAAGACGAGCACTCCTCGCAGCCCTCGTCCCGAAGGCCGCCTTTTCGCCGAGGGTCGGCGGCCAGCCGGAGGGAAAAAAGTGCGAGGGGGCGGGCCGTCTCAGAAGGCTCGGAGGTCCCCCCGGCCTCTGAGAAGTGCTAAAAAGCCTTCCCCGAAGGCACGGACACTGTTCAGAAGGCCAGAGGTCGGGCGACGAAATCTATACATATCCACTGCTCCCTGACCATGTCCATCTTGAACCCAGGAGCTGTGTATGCGCCCTCCTGGCCAAGCCAGGAGGGCGTGGCGTATACACCGCTGCGGGGTTGAGGATGGGCCTGGCCTGGGAGCAGTGGATATGTATAGATTTCGTCGCCCTAAGAGGATGCGGGAGGGCTTCTGTCAGAGCGTGAATTACCTGCCCCGCTTTCGCTTCCAGGCAAGACCAAGTCATACCACGCGCCTCCTCGTCAAGCGGCCCGACCAGTACAGGCCGTGGTTTGGCATCGCTCGGTATCTCTCGGAAGCGAGGGTGGTCCAAAGCGAGGTAGGTTCGTGTGCCCCCTATTCTGTGAAGTCTCGCCGCCTTCTGAGAGGGTGCTCTCCTTCTCGTTTCCCCCCTCTCGCTCGCCGCCGACTCATCCCAAAGGCCGCTTTCACCGATGAGGAACGACGCCGCGCCGCCGCGCACGACGTCCCCAGCGGCTCCAGGGGCGCACCCACTGTTCGGGGGCAGCGGCAGGGAGGGAGAGGCACGTGGGGGCGGCCGTCGGCCCCCCATCGCGCATTTTGATCGCCGATGGGGGCGGCCGATGGCCGCACCCCGCCCGGGAACGTGCGGATGCGCTGTCGGGGGCCCATCGCTCACCACCCACCAAACCACCCCAACCCAACCCGAAGGCCCAAATTTATCCTCGATTTCCAGTGGGGGGGGTCGGGGAACGTTGAAAAAACACATGGTATCCGTACCCCCCCCAACCCGAAATTCGGGTCAAATTCGGGTCTTCGGGTTGGGTTGGGGTGGTCTGGTAGGTAGTCAATCGCCGATCGACCAGCGATGTACCGCCGATTCCCGGTCGATGTGTCCCCCCGATCGTCGCCCCTCAAAAAATCGGGGGCGGCAAAGAGGGGGGTGATGACTAGGGGGGGGGACCCAGATTTCGTGGCGCCTCTTCTTGTTTCATGACGTCCCTGGCCCCCCGCTGGGCCGCGCACATACCGCCAGTCATGATTTGCACCCCCCCCCTCTTGGACACCCCCCTCTTGGCCGCTCCCGAAAAAATGTCGCCCCGTTCTTTCTCTGGAACCTCCGCGCGTTGGACGCCTCGCGGGCGTGGCCGCACAGCCGCGCCGGGCACTTCTCGGCCCCGTCGCCGCGCCAGGAGCACGCGAGCGCCCACGCGGCATGCCCCTTCGCCCACGGGCCAGAGCGAATGCGGCGGAGCTGAAAGAAGCAGGAGGAGGAGGACGACGACGAGGACGACGAGGACGACGAGGACGACGAGGAAGACGCGGGCGACGAGGACGACGAGGACGAGGACGAGGACGAAGACAAGGAGGAGCAGCAGGAGCAGGAGCAGCAGGACCAGGACCAGGACCAGGACCAGGACCAGGACCAGGAGGAGGAGGAGGAGGAGGCTGGCTGGCTGGCTGGCTGGCTGGCTGGCTGGCTTGACCATTGGCTGCGGAGGTTTATCCTCGAGGACGACGAGGAGCAGGAGGGGGAGGAGGAGCATCAGTACAGGCGACCGCGATCAATGTTATCATGAGGTTACTGCGCCATCTGCCGCTGGGCGCCCGTGCAGCTCGCTGAAGCATGCGCTCGCGCTCGAGCCGCATGCCAGCTCGAGCACTGTACGGCCTTGGAGCAGCAGCAGTGGTGCGGATGCAACTCCCGGGAGGTTCGATTCATGATTAGCGCTGGCCCATCCCTGGTCGAAAGCCGGCCTAATCTGGCTAAGCCCCGTTTGATCACGCCTAATCTGGTTCAGCCCCGCCAGATCCCACCTGACCCACCTGCAACCCCGGGCTCAATCCAGCTTGCTCCGGCTCCAGTGGCCCCCGAATCGGGTTTACGTGGTAGCTCTCAGCCGCCCTCACGAAGACCGAGCGTAAGACCCGGGTTTGCCGGGACTCGGGTTCGCCATCGTTTTTTGACGACCGCGACTCGGATTTTGACGAGGAGGAGTTTCGTGGGATGTCTGCAGCGGGAGGCCTCGTCAAAATGCAGGCTCGGCCTCGTCATTTTTTTGACGACCTCGTCGGGGATTTCCGAGTCCCCCGTAGCCGGGTCTTACGTACAGTGGTAGCTCTCGGCCGCCCTCACGAAGACCTCCCAGGAGGTGCCCCAGCAGCGGCAGCACGGGCCACCGAGGGCACCGCGCCGTCGCCGCCAGGCCGCCTGCGGCCGACTCCGCCGCTGGGCGGCCTGGGAGCGGGCAGAGCGCCGCGAGGCCGTCGAGAGGACCGCCGACCGCTCGACCCCCGAGCGCCGCCGACGGCGCCAGTCGACTGCCACACGGCGTCGTCGTTGCCGTCGGCGTCGGGGGCTCGTCGGGGTGGGAAGGTTGATGTCCGTGGCGGGCGAGGGGAGGGAAGTGAGAGGGAGAAGGCCCTCTCAGAAGGCGGCGGGGCTTCTCAGAAGCCCTCGGGCCTTCTGGGAAGTATGGGAAGTATTCCGTGCCTTCGGGGACGGCTTGGAACATTTCTCAGAAGGCCGGGGGATTTCCGAGCCTTCTGAGATGGCCCGCCTCTTTTCACTTCCCCTTGTCAACGCAGGCAGGTCGGGAAGGTCGCTGCGCAGCTGGGTGTCGATGTGAGTGATGCTGTAGCATGGAAAGCTAGAGTAGCGTTCAATTTTTGCACGAGTAGTTAAGTGCACGAGTCCACGCGCCTAGGGCGTATGACTTTTCGTTCGTTCGTTCGTTCGTTCGTTCTTTCATTTCACCCGCCTGGGCTGGCCGCCCATGATGGTCATCCGGACGTATGTTAGCCCGATGTGTGTTTACCCCGCTCGGCCTGTGTCGGCCGTCGTTGTGCCCTTTTGCGTCGTACGGGAGGGCTTCGGTGGACAAGCATACGTTGGCGGCAACACACGTCCCGAGGATCCTCGAACAGCGAGTGTCCAGAGACCGAACAAACAAATACCC